ATTTATTGTAGAGATGAGGTCTCGCCAAGTTGCCCAGGCAAGTCTCAAACCCGCGGGCTCAGGCAATCCACTCACCTCAGTCTCCCAGAGTGCTGGGATTACAGGCTGAGCCACCGAGCCCAGCTTACTATAGCTTTATAATAAGCTTTTTTTTTTCCATGTAGTGAACTCTTAGGTGGTATAGTAAGCTTTGATATCAGCTATTATAAGTCCTCCAGTTTTGTTCTCTGTTGTCAAAATTCTATTGACTGTTCTAGGTCCTTAGAGTTTCTATGTGCATTTTAAAATTTCTTGTCAATTTCTACATTTAAAAAGATAATAGCCGGGCTCGGTGGCTCAGCCTGTAATCCCGCGCCTTTGGGAGGCTGAGGTGAGTGGATTGCATGAGCCTGCGGGTTCGATACCCGCCTGGACAACTTGGTGAGACCTCATCTCTACAATAAATAAAAAATGAGCCGGGCATGGTAGCTCATGCCTGTAATTCCGGCTACTTGGAAGGCTGAGGCGAAAGAATGGTCGGAGCCCAGCAGGTTGAGCCCACCAGTCGGGGCAACAGAGGGAGACTCCAACTGAAAAAAATAATAATAATAAAATAAAATAAAAAAATAAAAAGATAATAGAATTTTGCCTAGGAGTCTTGATTGGAATCTAGAGCAACATTATCAAAACTTTTACATTGATGTTCCTTATGCTATTCATGGTAATTTTTGTTTTAATTTCCAGTTGCTTACTGCTGATATTTAGACTGATTTAGACTTTTTAACATTATTTGTTTTTTTGCTCCCTTTTATTTTCTGTCATTCTAAAATTAATGTGTTCAATATGATAGCCACTAGCTCCATGTGGCTGTTGAACACTTGAAATGTTCTTAGTCCTTATTGAGATGGGCTGTAAATGTAAAATACAGACGGAGAAAAAGAATGTGAAATATTTCGTTAGTGATTTGAAATTGATTACATGTTGAAATAATATTTTGGATCTATTAGGTTACATGAATATATTGAATTTCACTCTTTTACCTTCTGTAATGTGGAAACAACATTTAAAAATGTGCATTTTGCATTTGTGGCTTACATTATATTCTTTTTGCACAGTGCTTTGCTAAAATGTTACTAATGTCAAAGAATTATTTATTTGTAGATGAAGAAAAAACTCCAGAACACATCATGCAAGAAAAGCAAATTGAAGCGTATGTCATACTTTTAAATTTTATTTGTGGTCTTTACCAAGATTTAGTAACATTTTCTATGATTTAGCATCATCTTCCTTTTTCCTTTCCATTATTTTTCCAAATAGCTTGTCATGCATGAATTGGGAAGTTGTTAATTTAAGATGGAGATTTACATGTATACATAGCACTTTCTGGATTCTTCCTTACAAGATAGTGAGTATAATAGCTCAGGAGGTATTAGTTTACCAAGTATAAATATAAATTGCATTGGTGTATGAGCCTGTAGAAAACTATGGAGTCGGAGTCTCTGTCACCCACACTCGAGTACAGTGGCATGCCCATGGCCACCACAGTCTTGACCTGCTAGGCTCAGGCGATCCTTCCGCCTCAGCCTTCCAAGTAGCTGGAGCTACAGGAGTGCACCATCACACCTGGCTAATTTTTTTTTTTTTTTTTTTAGTTGGAGTCTCACTTTGTCACCCAGACTGGAGTGCAGTCGCCTCTCCTGGCCACCACAACCTCAACCTGCTGGACTCTGGCGATCCTTCTGCCTCAGTCTTCCAAGTAGCTGGAACTACAGGCACGCACTACCTCACCCAGCTGATTTTTTGATTTATTGTAGAGATGAGGTCTCGCCAAGTTTTCCAAGTGGGTCTCGAACCCACGGGCTCATGCAATCCACTCACCTCAGCCTCCCAAAACGTGGGATTACAGGCTGAGCCACCGAGCCTGGCTTAATTTTTTGACTTATTGTAGAGACGAGGTCTCTCTGTGTTGCCCAGGCTGGTCTTGAACCCCTGAAATCAGGCAATCCTTTCGCCTCTGCCTCCCAAAGTGCTGGGATTACAGGCGTGAGCCGCCATTCCCGGCCTGATATTTATCTTTTTCAAAGGCTTGCTTTATTTTATTTTATTTTTGAGTTAGAGTCTCACTCTGTCACCTAGACTGGAGTGCAGTGGCCCCTCCTGGCCACCGCAGCCTCGACCTGCTGGGCTCCGGCAATCCTTCTGCCTCTGCCTTCCAAGTAGCTGGAATTACAGGTGCGTGCTACCATGCCTGGCTGATTTTTGATTTATTGTAGAGATGAGGTCTTGCCAAGTTGCCCAGGCGGGCCTCGAACCCGTGGGCTCAGGCAATCCACTCGCCTCAGCCTCCCAAAGCACGGGATTACAGGCTGAGCCACTGAGTCCGGGGTAGAGGCTTACTTTAAACATTTATTTAAATAATGACTTTTTCTGATATTGCTGAAATTCTTTTGTTCATGTTTCTTTGCTAGTAAAATTGAAGACCTGGAAAATGAACTTGAAGACGCAAAAATTGCTTTTGAAATGAAAACTCTTGCATTAGACAGGTAATTATTACATTTAAAATACAACCATTGGAATTGCATGCAAAGTGGGCAGCGGGACAAGGTGGTGGGAATATTTTTTTTTTTTTTTTTGCGTCAGCATCTCACTCTGTCTTCCAGGCTCACAGCTACCACAGCCTCGACTTCCTGGATTCAGGCAATCCTTCCACCTCTGCCTTCCAAGCACCTGACACAACAGGCACACACCACGACACCTAGCTAATTTTATTTCCCGTAGAGACAAGGTCTTACCATGTTGCCCAGGCTGGTCTTAATCCCCTGGGTTCAGGAAATCCTCTTGCCCCCACTTCCCAAAGTGTTGGGGTTGCATGTATGAGCCACCTCTGGGCAGGAATGTCTTTAATTAGGTTAAATCAATTAGTCAAGCAAAACGATTAAATAATGATCACACAAATTTTGAGCCTTGAGAGGAAAGTTACATTACAGATGCTTGGCTGGGCGCAGTGGCTCATGCCTATAGTTCCAGCACTTTGAGAGGCCGAGGAGAGAGGATTGCCTGAACCCACGGGTTTGAGAGCAGCTTGGGCAACTTGGAGAGATCTCATCTCTACAATAAATCAAATTAGCCAGGTATGGTGGCACATACATGTAGTTTCAGCTACTTGGAAGACTAAGGTGAAAGAATCTCCTGAGCACATCAGGTTGAGGCTGGGGTGACCGGGAGCATGCCCACTGCATTATAGAGTGAGAGTCCAACTCAAAAAAAAAAATTACAGATGCTTCTCAATTTATGATGACATTGTGTGTCAGTAAACCCGTTCTAAATTGAAATACCATAATCAAAAATGCCCTTAATACATCTATGCCACCAAGCATCATTGCTTTGCCTATCCTAAGCTAAACGTGCTCAGAATGCTTACGTTAGCCTATAGTGGGGCAAAATCAACTAACACAAAGCCAATTTTGTAATAAAGTATTGACTGTCTCATATAATGTATTCAATACTGTACAGAAAGTGAAACAAAATGGTTGCATGGGTACTCAGAGTATGGTTTTTACAGAATGAATATCACTTTTGCACTATAGTAAAGTAAAAAAATAGTCAGTTGAACTAATGTAAGTTGGCAACCATCTGTGTTCATTAATATCTTCATTTGAATAAGTTACTAGGATAGGATTAATGAGGAAACTTCATTCAAGACAATAGAAGTGGGAGATTAAATCCCATTTGGTGTTTGAAAGGATTACATGGATTCATTCCAATAACTTTTTTTTTGAGTTGGAGTATCACTCTGTCACCCAGGCTGGAGTGCAGTGGCATGCTTACAGCCACCGCAACCTCAATCTGCTAGGCTCAAGCAGTCCTTCCACCTCAGCCTTCCAAGTAGCTATAACTACAAATGTGTGCCACCACACCTGGCTAATTTTTTTGTTGTTCTTTTATTGTAGAGATGAGCTCTTGCCAAATTGCCCAGGCTGGTCTCAACCCCCCTGGGCTCAGGTCATCCTCTTGCCACTGCCTCCCAAAGTGCTGGATTACAGGCATGAGCTACCTTACCTGGCTGAATTGTTTCTAGCAGTAGACTTTTTTCCCCTCATTGTATATGTTGACTCATCATGTTAATCACTTGTATCTTTTTTAATTAAGGTAACAGAGTTATTAAGATATTTTCGTGTGTGCGCGCGCGCGTGCGCGTGTGTGCGTGTGCGTGTGCGTGTGTCGCCCCGGCTGCAGTGCGGTGGTATGATCATGGCTTCTTGTAGCCTTGACCTCTTGGGCAGTCCTTCTGAACCTGTAGTTCCAACTACTCGAGAACTTGCTACCATGCCTGGCTAATTTTTAAAATTTTTATAGAGATGAGGTCTCCTTATGTTGCCCAGGCTGATCTTGAACTCCTGGGCTCAAACAATCCTCCCCCCTCGACCTCCCAAAGTGCTCAAATTACAGTGTGAGCCACCACACCCAGCCAAGATAATTTGCTTTTAATGAATCAAGTTTTGTTTTTATTTATTATTTTTGAGTTGGAGTCTCATTCTGTAGCCCAGGCTGGAGAGCAGTGGCATGCTCTTGGCCACCGCAGCTGCCACCTGCTGGTCTCAGGCAATCCGCCTCAGCCTTCCAAGTAGCTAGAACTACTGACATGCGCCACCATGCCTGGCTAATTTTTCTTGATTTATTGTAGAGATGAGGTCTCACCAAGTTGCCTGGGCTGGTCTTGAACCTGTAGGCTCAGGCAGTCCTCTCACCTCAGCCTCCCAAAGTGCTGGGATTATAGGCGTGAGCCTCCATGCCCGTCTTGTGTCACGTTTTTTGTGTGTTGCAGAAAGGAAGAAGCAACTCTGTTATTGCTGAGTTGATTACATTTTTATTATGATTTTTTATTAGCTATTCAAATTTAAAAGTAATTTATTTCGTTTATTTTAAAATAGGAGTCTCACTCTGTCACCTAGGCTGGAGTGCCATGGAATGTTCATGGCCACCGCAGCCTTGACTTGCTGGGATCAGATGATCCTTCTACCTCAAGCTTCCAAGTAGCTGGAACCACAGGCATGTGCCATTAGCCCAGCTAATTTTTTGATTTATTGTAGAGACAAGATCTGGCAAAGTTGGCCAGGCTGGTCTCCAACTCCTGGGCTTGGGCTATCTTCTTGCCTCGTCTGCTGGGATTATCCATCACATCCAACCTAAAAGTAATGTATAGTGGCATGTTTAAAGCTCAAAGTCAGCCGGGTGCAGTGGCTTACATCTGTAATCCCAGTACTTTGAGAGGTAGAGGCGAAAGGATTACCTGAGTTTTGGGGTTCAAGACCAGCCTGTGCAACATGGTGAGACCTTGTCTCTACAATAAATCAAAAAATCAGCCGGGAATGGTGGCACATGCCTGTGGTTCCACCTATTTGGAAGGCAGAGGTGGAAGGAGCACCTGAGTCCCATAGGTTGAGTCTGTGGTGATGGTGAATATGCCACTGCCCTCCAGCCTGGGCAACAGAGTGAGACTCCTACTCAAAAATAAATAAATAGCAAACGAATGAATGAATGAATATACACATATACATATATGTGTGTGTCTATACATGTGTATATATGTGAAATAGAATAAAGAAAGCAAGCTAGCTTGCTCGTAGTCATGTATTGCTTTGTATTTCCTGCGTCTCTCCCATTTCGGGCCCATGCGGCTCTCTGCAGTGCCTTTATGCTTCTGGCAGCCCTGCACCGAGCTGATGACTTGGAGAGCTCCGCTGGCTGAGGCTGGGTTGTGGAGCCACTCAGCCCCTCATCCCAGCATTGTGCGGCCACTTGCCACAGCCCCATCCATCTTGGTGTTATTTCATATCTCTGTGATTTGCTTCTGAAAGTATTTCACATACAATACACTTTAAAAACCTACTTAATTTTAGGTATGTTTGAAAGAAAATCAATCTTTAACTTGTCACCTTTTGTTTTTCTAATGTGCCTTATCATAAATGAAATCCATGTTTATAATACAAGTTTTTCTCTTTCATAGGATGCAGCTTTCAATTGCACTTAAAAGATATCTGGAGAAAGTTAACACCAAGTCTAGGTATAATTTTTTTAGTTTTCTGAATTTGGTAAGAATGGGAATAAAGGTCATTGCCTTGCTGAGCTATGGCCTAGCCATGTGCTCTTTTAGCTGTGGCCAGGCCATGTTTGCCCAAGCTTTGGTCCCCTCTCCTACCTTGGGGAGGTGAATTCCCTCTCTTCCCTCTCTCTGATTTACTTTCTAGCCATTGCTTTGTTAAACTCTGGTGTGTCCACGAGGCTCTTTGAGCCAGGCCCCCATGTTTCTTGGCTTTGGCCCTCTCCCCTACCTTGGAAGGGTGAATCAATCTCTGTCTATCTCTCTCTCTCTCTCTCTCTCTCTCTCTCTCTCTCTCTCCCTCTCTC